TTTCTATTTCTTGCTTTAAAAATCTTTGCTCGAATTCTCGAATCTTCCAGCTTTAGACATTCAAAAGATTTTGAGGGCACTGTTTTCTGCATATTATCCTTTTGAAGAAAGGAATTGCGGCTCTTGACTCAAGTCAAGATCGCCAATTTCAGCAATATGATAGTTGTAGGAATTCTTCTACTGATGCTTAACCGGAATATACTTGAAAGGTGATTCAATACAACACATTAATTTTGATTTTGATGATGTTACATTTTAAATGTTGTTAATAAATTCTTTGTTTTTTATCTCAACTCATCCTTTTCAAAATCCATCAGAAATAGTCATCAATCATTTTCATTTTAAAATGACCACTCCTACTTAATCAAGCTAATAGACGTGGTCAAACGGTTCCCTTTTTTGAATCGACCAATATACTACATTAATCAACCTTATTATTAAATTGGCCTTAAAATGATTTTTATTTATATTTATAAATAAAAGCCTGAGACCGTTATAAACCCTGTGATTTAATTCATAATCAACCCGATTCACTATATTTTTCTCCATTGTTTTCGAAACTTTTGGAAATTTTTTAAAGAGTTTAACCATTTATAAAAATCACAATGCACATCATTTTTGGAGTAAATCTTAGTGGGTGATAGAGATAATGTTCAATCTGTTTCGAATGCTGATTATCTTATATAGTAAATCTTTCTAACGTTCAGTGGCCACGGTCATTTTCAAAAAAAGCATTATTTATTGTAATACAGTAAAATAATCTGGTTAAACAAAAGTTTAAACAAAAGTTCGCAATTTTCATAGTTTCTTAGGTGGAAAAAAATAGAGATTCACTAGCCGGAGTGCAAATAAAAGTAATGGAATTTTACGATAAATTGCCGCAGGAACATAAAGAAGGAAGGAAGGATAAATATGAAGAACAATGCATCGCATGGATCAAAAAAGTATTTTTTAATTGTTTTATCACGTTAAGTCTTTATATTATATTTTATTATTACATGACTTCTCAACATTTTCATTTTCGAATTTAACAATCCATTTGGCTGAAATATTTTTCTGGAAATCATCTTTATTTTTTCCTCCAGTTTGAAACATTATTAATTAATTTTTAATGATACTATTATTATTAGGTGACAAGTGAAGATGAAATGAATGAATTAAAAGAACTAAGAGAGAAAAATGAAGTGAACAAAATTTTGGAAAAAATAGAAGAATACAAGGAAAGACTGAATGAAAAAGAGAAAAAATTACTTGAATTTTGGAAGGTTCCCTTTCTTTTCATTTGTTCATTTGCAAGTATACATTTTGTTATTAACATAAATTTACCTTGTTTTTAAATCTACTTTTCACGAAAATTTGCATCTCTTAATCGTGCAAAAAAAAAACCACTCATTCGAAAATGGATAACTTTATGCTAGAGAGCGTAAACTTAAGTAATCTATTTAGGATGTCTGTCGTCGTTTATGGGGCATTGATGAAAAAATGGAAATGATTACACGAATGCGAAGAGAAATTTCATATTATAAACCTTATTTGGATTCATTTACTCATCAGCAAATCGCAGACCTTGAGAACATGAAAGTGAATGGTGCATCCAATGTTCAAATTTACAACGAAGTTTGTGAATTTCCACAACGGTAGCGGAAATCAAGATAAAAATATTCACAAAACTTTTCTGACCATGTATTTCGTACAGCGTGTATTACGCTGTTTATTATTTGAATGGTCAACATGGTGTTGGATTTAGCATGTTAGATTTCTATTGATTTAAACCATATACGAATTCCAAAAATTTTATTTTCTATTTGGAAATTTCCTTTATTTTACTTAAGATGAAGGAATATCATGGCGAAACAATTATCAATGAATGGGAAAACATAGAACTGATGATAAGCAAAAAATGCGAGGAGTGGTTACATGAATTTTTTACCACTGACGAGTTTACAAATCAAAATAATCATTTGAAGGTAACAAATTAAATGGTTGAAATTTATTTCGACAAATTATAAACACATACAATCGATCAAAGATATCTCAAACCTACTATATTACATTGATTCTTAAATTTGAAATATTCACATTACAGAACGGTGGCATTTATCTTTATAATAAGAGATTATTCGACAATTTTGATAACCATTCGGATGTTAGCCAAGGAAATAAATGGAATCAAGAAATAAAGAGTATTATACTTAATCCTTGCAGTTTTAGAAAATAATTTTGCAATTATTCATTAAATATTTATACAAATGAAAAGGCAACAGCAATAGATAAATGATGAACTTTTAGCTTTTAATAACTTTTAATAAAATTCCATATCTATTCCAGATATTTGTTTACAAATTGTGCGAACAAATAAAAAAAGACAGAAGAGGGATATGAAGAATTCGTATAACGATTGGATTACATGGATGGATTATGGCTTGAAAAATTGGTTAAAAGAAAGAATTGATTCGGGAATTCCTTTCGAAAATATTTATACAGAATTTAAGAAATATTTTGATGAACTTATTGAAGATATTAGAAACGTACTATCGAAAAATTATAAGGTTAAAAAATTTCATAATAACGCCGTTATTTTAAAAAATATAGATAAGAAATCAATGAATGAAAGGAACTATCAGCTCGCCTAGCTGAATGAATAATAACCAAAAAATGGTAGCTCCCTGCATCTCGCTAAAAACTATAGAATTAAGTTCTAATCATAACCTATATTTTTTGCTGAATTGTTGTTGATTAAACATTTAATTGTTTTGCCAAGAATTTTCTCATAGGAAAAGTATAAATCAGACTTCCTAACAATGATGATAAAAAATGAAGAAATAGAAACAAGGCAATTGCATGAGTCTGGGAGCCTTGATGCTGTATCAGTCGTCATTGATGCTATTGCAAGACAGCCAGAAGAAGTAAAACAGCAACTAAGAAATTTTAAACAGATATGACAATTAGCAGTGTAAAAGATAAATCTGGAAATGATTTATATTTTTTAAATTTATGAGATGCTAAGCGAAAAATTCGATCTTGCTTGGTTGCAGATTTGCGAAAAAATTTATGAAAGATTAACCAACTCAAGCGATCATGTCAATGTTAACAGATTAATTAAGAAACATCTGTCGTGGATGAATAAAGCTCAGAAAGAAGAAAAGAATGTACAGATAAAAGGATCCGAAGATTCCTCGCTAAAAGCTATAAAGATGAGGTAAAGGATAATTGAATATTGTTTGAAACATTTTTTATGACATTTAAATTTTTAAAAATTTCTGCAACAGTTATTCTCATAAATTTTTTTAAATTAAACTGCAGATTCATAAATTATATCAAAAATGTGGATAGTGGAAAACAGAAAGAAATAGCGAAAAAAACAAGAGAATCTTGTTATCAATGGTTAAAGGAAGCAACAACAGAACAAGAAAGAAAAGAACTTGTACTGCTCCATAAAACTGATCACAATGCATGTAGAAATAAGGTAGTTGAACACGAACTATGATTCCATAATTTATCCGCAAAGCTCGTGACTTTCTTGCGATTTTTTAACCATTTAATTAAAGCCAATTTAAAAACACTTTGAAACACTTTCCTCATCACGACTAATAAGACCATTGTGAATATTTTTGCATTTTAGGTACGTCAATACATTCAACGTTTATCGTCCGAGAAGCAAATTAAAATATACAAAGACATGGAAATTTGTGAACAAATTTGGCATGGTGATCACATCGAAAATATTGTACCTAATGATCCTAAGAAACACCATCGCAAGAGATCACTTATAAAGAGGGATGAGGATGAAAAATCAAATTCTGTATTGCTGGAAAAATACTTGAATGAATATCTGGAGTGGCTATCAGGCGTACAAAGGAAGGGGCTAAGAGCTGAAAGGGATTCAGGAAAATCGAAAAAAGATATCGAAAACAAAACTTTTCACAATTCTGATGAATTTCAAGCTGTGGCATCGCAAGAGATCACTTATAAAGAGGGATGAGGATGAAAAATCAAATTCTGTATTGCTGGAAAAATACTTGAATGAATATCTGGAGTGGCTATCAGGCGTACAAAGGAAGGGGCTAAGAGCTGAAAGGGATTCAGGAAAATCGAAAAAAGATATCGAAAACAAAACTTTTCACAATTCTGATGAATTTCAAGCTGTGGAAAAGGCAACAACATTGCGAGCGAAATCATGCGAAGGATTTTTAAGAGAAATTATCGGTGAAGGAAAAACAGAAAAACTGAAAACTGTGGCACCATTCAAAGACTTGGCAGAGATAAATTATAAAATAAATTTCTACTTAGAGCAAATATCTGATAATAATCAGAAAATCAACTTAAGTAAACGGATTACACACTGTCGAAAAATTTATGGATTGAAAGCAGAGAACCCAGAAAATTTCGATAGAACTCCAATCGAAGACACCTTTGAACCAGCGTGCTCAAAAATACATGGAACTTACCATGGAGAATTTGAGCAACAACTTCATAATTTTTTTATTCACAGTCTCAAGTGGTTGGATAAAAGAAAAATGAATAAATTGTGCCAAATGGAACTTGATGGAAAATCAAGAGTAGAAATGCACTCGAAAACTGAAGAATGGTACGAGGCATTGCCAGATGACGAAAAAAATGCAGCAGGATCTATGATAAATAATGGTTGCAATAAGATTTTTCAATTTATAATCGGCAAAGAAAAAGCTTGCGTTATACAAACTATAAGAGCTCTTGAAGGATCATCCGATGAAACATATCAAAAACTTGCTGAATATTTGGATGAAATTGGTGATGAAAAATTGAGAACTATTGGAAAGCAATTCGCACTGCATTGCAAAATCATTGACGAGAACACAAAGTTGAAAAATCAAAATAAATACACTGAATATCGTCGATCAAGGCGAGATCACCTTGGGCGTGATTATGACCACTATCGTCACGATCACCATTGCCTAGAAGACCATTTGATAAATTATTTATCATGGTTATCTGAAGATCAAGCAAACGAATTGAGAAAAATGAAGAAAGAAGGACAATCAATCAAAATGATGCAAGATAAAATTATGGAATACCTTAAGTCTTTAAGTAATGAAAAGAAGGCAAATGCCAACGAGCATTTGAAATCAGCTTGTGTTGAACTGGTGAAAAATGTTGTTGGGGATGAGAAAGCAGCATCGCTTAAAGCAATGCGGGACTCCGGAGCGAGTTTCTCACAACTAGAACAAAAGTTGACAGAAATGTTAAAAGATGTAAATGATGATAAGAAAAATTTAGCGGATAATTATGGAGATTTTTGTAGAAATCTTTACTGGCTAGACGTTCACCATCGAAAACGGCGTGATCACCATGAAGATCATCATCATCATGGCCTCGAAGAATATTTAAAGACTCATTTATCATGGTTATCTGAAGATCAAGCAAACGAATTGAGAAAAATGAAGAAAGAAGGACAATCAATCAAAATGATGCAAGATAAAATTATGGAATACCTTAAGTCTTTAAGTAATGAAAAGAAGGCAAATGCCAACGAGCATTTGAAATCAGCTTGTGTTGAACTGGTGAAAAATGTTGTTGGGGATGAGAAAGCAGCATCGCTTAAAGCAATGCGGGACTCCGGAGCGAGTTTCTCACAACTAGAACAAAAGTTGACAGAAATGTTAAAAGATGTAAATAATGATAAGAAAAATTTAGCGGATAATTATGGAGCATTTTGTCGAAAAATTTTTGATGCGAAATTAAGGCAAAGAAGAGAGCATCCTGATAGTCTGGAGAAATACTTTTCGAAGCTTTTGGACTGGATGTCAAAGGAGCAGAAAGAGGAGCTGAAACAATTGAAAGCAGCTGCAAATCTGAATATTGTACAGTCGAAAATTATTGAATTTTTTAACGAAGCCAGTGGTGAGATCAAAGAACTAGCCACCAAATCTCTTCAGCAAGGATGTTTGGCTTTGATAGGAGATCTGGCTGGTAATAAAAAGGTGATTGAATTAGTGGCAATGAAAGATAGCGATGTCACACGTGAAGAGCTTGAACAAAAGATAGGCGATATATTTGAAAACATATCTAAAGAACATCAAAACAGTCCTGTATTAGGATACGAAAAACCATGCAAAATTATTTATGGAATTGGTTCAACAAGGAAACGGAGGCATTTGAACGAAAATAATCTTAACAACATTATTCGCTCAAATAAAGTATGGTTAAGTCCGGACTAATTTAGCGAATTATTATATGAAATGCCAAAAAACTTCAAGTGGACAATTAGGTGAATTACTAATGAGTTTTTACGAGAATTTAGACGTCAGAGCAAAGCCGATGGCTGCTCATAGTGTGCGAATGATGTGCAAAATCATGATGGTTGAGTCAGTTGGAAAGGGAAAAACTGATAAAATTTTTGCGACATCCACAAATATTAATCCATAAGGATGGCAAAAGTTTTTGCATCTATGGGAATAGGGCCAATTAAAAAGGTTTTTTGATTGATATCTTATCACGCTGAAATACAATAAAATTTTTCAGGAATCATATTTCCGGCCAGATTATCAAAGGAATGGAAAGTTCGATTTTGCGACGAGATTTTGAAAACAATCTAATAGCGATCGATTCAGACCGAAATTTTTTCCTTTAAACCATCCATTGTTTATCAAATTTCACAACAAAGTTAGTCCAAACATTTTTTGTTATCATTACTGTTTTGGCTTAAAATATTTACTAAATCCTTAATTGTTCACATAAGTAAATGTAAATGTGAAAGTTTTTCATCTGTTTTATTCCAAAATTTTCACTGAAATTTCCTTTGGATTTCCATATATTTTCTATATATTCATATAAATTCATTTTCATAATTTGTATTGATTAATGAATAAAGATTGTTCATTTTTATGCGAATGCAAAGAAATCGCATAGCAACACAGGAAACAAATGTACCGCTGAATCCATAAAATTTTTCCATTGCTTATAAATTAGCACTTGCTTGCTTATCTTTGTCCTCTGTTACTCAGTCCAAATTTATATTCGCATCCATTTATATCAAAATTGTTAAATTTTTAATTAAGGCAATCTGCACCTGCATTTGCGAAACAAAGTCAGCTACAATAAAGTGTATCATTTATATCGTATCATTTATAATACGAATAGAAATCAGTAGATCATATTATTTGATTTTACTTGAAAATCTTGCACCATAAAAGCTACTTTACAAAAGTTCTCAGCTATTGAAATGCATTTTTTTTCTCTTGAGACCTATGTGCATTTTGGCGAAAATTAATTTCATTTTCGTACTACCATTGATCAATGAAAAAGGGCAGGTGAAAATTTAAATGCTTATTGTTATTGCCTGTTGCTTAGTCATTCCATTGCTTAAAACTATTTTACTAAATCACATGAATAGATTGATGTTGAAAAATCATACATGTGCGATTTGACAATGGTTCCACCAATTTTACACAAATCGGATTATGGACTATTTTGTGTACAAATACTTTGCGCTCCACTCTTCTTCATAAAATACACCATTAGTCGTTGAACATTTCGACAGAGCCGCGTTAAATCAAAATTTTGTGAATTTGTTTATTTATATAATATTATAGAAATTTATTTTTATCATTTCACTGTTATTCTTTGACATTAAAATTTCTTTGAAATTTTTTTAATACACAAAATGTTTTCCCTTTTATTTGTTTTTCTTTTAATTGTTATTGTTAATCGACGGTTGAATATTTGCCTATATTAAGTACATTCGTATGGTTTAAAAAATGTTTATCACAACACCTGCTATGATCAAATGGTTAAGATTTGCTTCGGCTTAAGTCAATTGTAGCAGATTTCAGCCCTTTTTTCTTGACAGGAGCAAAGTAGTCATTAAAAGCAAAATCCTGACGGTACTTCTTCTTCTCTTCTCAAAGACATGCCGCCCAGTTGGCCTCATCGTAAGAGCCAATATAACTATAGACGGTGAATACTATTAGAACAAGGCTGTACAATGAATGCACTAAAGCTTTGCAAAATAGTTTGATATGATTTTTTTTCAAAAAAAAACTCTCGCTCATATTTTCATTGCTTTTTAAATCTATTGTTCTATTGATAATTTAACAATTTTTTGTGAAAAAATACTATGAGAAAAAATATATTCTCTGTTTTCAATATTCAAGTGTTTACTTTTTCTAACCTAAAATGTTTCAGCTTTCCCTAACGCATGAATATAATAAATCGTTTGAAGTCACATTTTCTTAACCATCACAAAATCTCAAAAAATTTAATACAATACGAGATATATGTACTTATTTTTAAACGTTTTTCACCACATTTCACCCATTTTTCATATTTTTTCATTAAATTGCTTTCATTTCTTTTTATGCGCTAGTAAAGGCCTTACAAGATATTGGCACAATTACAATTGAAATAAATTGTTCGTATTTTAAGATGACGTCATTAGCAAATTTCCGCGTAAATTTTCAATACAATGAAATAACAGATGATTTTGAACAGGTTTGTTGTTTTTTCTACGCTATAATGTTTGTCGATGAATTTCCTTTTTTACCTTGGTTTTTTGAAACGTTTGTGTTCGTAATACTATATTCGTTTCTTAATCGGATTGCAAGATGAGCTAACGAAATTGCAAGAAGTAGGTTAGTAGTAATTTCTGCCATTTCTATTTAATATACAACTGAACTTAATGTATATGGCTTCGATTCGTACTTGAATCTTCTTGAAAATCTTCTTTAAAAAAATTTGTTTTAGGTCGCTTGATAAAAAATTAAAATTAATTTCAATTAATTAAAAAAATGAAAAAATTAGAACCATTTCAGCAAAGAGCAATGATCTGGCTTACGATGAGGCTCAGAACTCAAACAGTTTTCTATCAGAAATACCATTTGTAAAGAAATTTTTGAGAAATATTAATGATCTAAGAATAACTGCTTGATTCTAGATGAATGATGTGAGTGGCGTCGAAAAAAAGGTAACGAAGCCAAAACTAGCCGATATGATCAAAGCATATAAATCAATAATTGCAAATATTGGTGAAGATATAAATCGAGAAGGTTTGCTGAAAACACCTGAAAGAGCTGCTAAAGCTATGTTATTCTACACCAGAGGCTATGAAACCAGCCTTAATGGTTTGTACCCTTTTCTGATTGCATTATCTGATGAAATATCTACTATTATCTACTATCTACTATTACTATATATCTCTCGCAAAATTCACTCATTTTTAGGAGGTTCAAAATATCCATTTGTCCTTAAATTGTGAGAGGGAGGGGGAGGGGAACAATTCCACTGTTTTTTAATTTTAGGGCTGTAACGAAATTAATTTTCTCTATTTGGATTAATTTCGTTTTATATTTTCCTTGGCTTATATTGTCCGTTCGTTGTCGTGAAAATCACAGTTCAGTCGTAGTTTTATTAGTTTATGAGTAATTAAACCAGTAAATATAGAATATAAAGTTGAATCGTGCAGGTAATTTCGACGTACTTTCTTCATTACTTTCAACCGTTTTAATATTTTTTATAATCATCCCTTTTTTACTGCCATTTTTACATCGACAAATTTTGTGGAAAACTTTTATAATACGGAGATTTAATGAAATTTAATTAAATTATTACGTACACAAAGACGAAAACAAAACAATGATAATTGGAAAAAAAAGGATCTTTTCTTCCTTCGGAATTTTTTGGCAAAGATTAGATTATAGAAAGGCTGAATTAAATTTTAATCCATTCTTACTTCTCTTCAGCCTGTTTTCGGTCCTTGAGCAAGGCAATTTCTCCTTTTTCGAGTGTGTATATATTTTTATTTATTAGAGTCATTTGCTTTCCACTTTAACTGTTAGTTACTTATAGCTCTTACAGTGAAAAAAAGTTGCCAGCAATGTTCACTGGATACCTTGAATTGTTTCATACACAAGACAATAAAGTGTCGATGTGCTTGCTGTGTACACTTTCTAATGAAGCCACCCAAATTTTAGGCACATTTGTTTGCAAAAAACCCACTAGTATGTAAAGAAAAAGAATTGGCGCACCTTGAGAAGCTGTGCAGTGATTTAAAATGAATGCATTTAATAAAATAAATGTTTGGTATCAGTAGTGAGTATCAAAAGTGGATGTAGTATCTGCTGTGGATTTAACACTGGTGAGCTCAAATGAAATAAAAACATTATTAAGCAACTCATCAATACCTCAATATCCCCACGCTTAGATGAAATAATTCGTAATGTGAAAGAATGTAAATCGACTTTGTTGAATAAAAAAGCCTACGTATTTTTAAGTGAGCAACTTGTTTTTTACATGAAAACAGATAAAAAAGGTCAGTTTTTGACAAACTTAGGGGATTTGCATGAGAAGAATGTCACATTAAAAAAATTATTTCTGGGCCTTAAATGAAGCTGCATTGATATCAGGGCTATAAAAAGCTTTCAGTACATTTTAAAAGTTTTTAAAATATCTACCAGCTTTATTTTCTATATTCCATTTTCTGTTTCATACATCGACAAGTTTTAGTAGGAAAAAAAGAGCGGTTGTTCACGCTTTCATTAAAATAGTTAATTATATTAAGTCTAATGCGCTGTAAAATCAACTTTATGAAGAAAATTATGAAGACTGTGAATGTTTACTTCCACAAAGAGGTTCAGTGGTTTTAAAGAGAAACTGCCCTATGTAAATCCTGTTCGCTTCTCATTTTTCAGCGAGAATTTGCTTTGGCAATTAGTAGATTTATTTGGTTATTTATTAAATTTATTTGGCAAGACAAATTTGTTGAAAAAACAATCGCAAGAGAAAAATGCAAATTTTACCATTCAAGGATGCATTGAATGGGCTCTTGTGAAATTAAAAGCATTTCTGAGTTAATATTGGGCATCATGAATTTATTTAATTCTGTTAATAAATAACAGGATGCAGAGTCAAAGAATATATTGATCATTATTGAATTTTCTCGGCTTTCGGACAAGGCGAAAGAAGTTGTAGGTTTTCGAAGTTTTATCTGATTATATTTGGCTTTAGCAGAGTCAACCATCTGATATCAAATGCGCAGACTGGATATTGAGAAAAATAGGGATTTCGTTATACTCAACCAATTTCCAGCCAAATTACGAAATCCTTCTTCCATCAGCCACAACGCCCACACTAGAAGTCACTTCTAAACGACAATATTTTAAAATATTTTACAATTAAATTTTCCCAATCTTATAAATGCAATTATATGAACTGCGTGATTTTTTGTAAAATATCTGCAATGTTCCCATATTTTATAAAGCATATATGCCTTCTAGCTTTTTATTTTGTTTTATTTTTTACATTTTGATTTCTTTGCTTTAAATAAAATAAAATAATCTTTTTTATGAATGAAAACTGTTGGCTAGAAATTAAACAAACCCATTATCTTATAGTTTTTACCCACAGTTCAACCCTTATTTACTTTTCGCTAAAAAACGGATCTTTCTGAATTATAGGAGCCGCAGAAACCAGTAAGAAAAAATCGGACAAAAAAGGAAAATTACTGCTAAATCTTTTACTTATATTTATTCATATTTAAAATATTCGCAATTTTAAATTAATTCGTCAAATCATTCCTCAAAAATATTTTTGTTCTGAAAAATTTCAGTGAAAGTTTTCAGACATATTAAATGAAGCTGTTTTCATCGAAGATCATGATGAGATGGTAATTCTGCGAGATATAGACATGTTCTCTTTATGCGAGCATCATTTGATACCATTTTATGGGAAAGTTCATATTGGTTACTTGCCAAGCAAGAAAGTACTTGGGCTAAGCAAGCTAGCAAGAATTGTCGAGATCTATAGTAGACGACTACAATGTTCGCCATTATATTATCAATTATGTTAGACCATAGAATAACCATATAACAGAAACAACGCAAAAAATAGTGTCTTAAATATTTAGTTGAATCCGACTCAAAACATGCTAACATTGTCAATTTGTTATTTATCATATATAAAAAATAGCTTATCACTATTAAGTAAATTATAAGTAAAATTAATATTGATAATGTATAGAAAAAAATTGTAGTGCAAGAAAGGTTGACAAAACAGATTGCTTCAAGCGTTCTTCAAGCTGTTCAACCGTCAGGAGTTGCTGTTGTTATCGAAGCATCGTTAGTGCAATTTTCTGACAAATATTTTTGAAAAAGAAATAGTATTTCATCTTATCAATCCATATTTTATTTTTCTAGAAGATTGCGAATAAAATTATAGAAAAATAATCATAACACTTTCAGACATATGTGTATGGTAATGAGAGGAGTGCAAAAAATCAATGCGACGACAATAACAAGTTGTATGTTAGGTGTATTCCGAGATGATTCGAAAACTCGTGAAGAATTTTTTAATCTTATAAAGAAGTGATTCTTTTTTTTCGCAATATTGAATTCCTTAGGTCTTGTGCAAAAATTTGGGCCACTCACTGTGTTATAAAATAAATAGACAAATGAATATATTGCCCATTTCGTGCGTTTCATTTTTTGGCCAAACAAATCTGGCTTACTACTGCCATGTTGACTGAATGGTGTTTAAATGTGATCAGTAACTGAAATTATGTTTGATAAAGCAACAATTTAAGCTTTAAATAATTGCACAATGGGAATGTTGTGGGCTAAGAAAGTATTCAGTGGAATATTCGAACTTATGGTTGGTTCATAAATATTCTGACACATTTATATTCATATACATTGCACAAACGTCCTTCAAAAACCATTGTATATGCATTTATCATGAGAAAACTATATAAACAAGAATTCTAAATGAGCTCTGAAAGAATTCTTTCTCTCTGCTAAATTTTAGAAAACGACGATTTTTAGTGATAGAAATATTAACATTACAATCTGTTTTTCTTTTTATTAAGGTTAAAAATTCCTAAATTTTTATACTTCGATTGATATTTCACAAGTATTTGTTTAAGAAAAGCTGAAATAAGCTTCAGTTTCTGTCTATTCATCACCTTTGCTTGTTCAATGTGTTTTCAATGAGCGATGTTGTGCATGACCTCAATCTTTACCGATAAGCTCTTCAAAAAAACGATGTTAAATAATGAATCAACCTCTCAGATCTATTAAAATCGAGTTAATTCGTAGCGATTAAACTGATGAGGTGTTCAATTTATCAAAACGGTTGGTAATCAAACATCGAAATATACTAAATATACCGATGTAAAAATTATCTTCATATTATATAACCAGCAAAAAATACAGTGATAATACTGGAAAATAAAAAGTCTGGACAAAATCCTTAAGTATGTATAAATTTTCTCCTCTAATCCTTGGGAAATATATTATAATAAAGCGATGAGATCATTGAAATATAAATTAAAAATACGTAAAAAGCAAAAATAACCTGAGGATGTTTCAGCGCATATCGAATATTAATTTTTCCCTTAGGAATGGCAGGACAGGCACCATAAACAAACTGGATTGAGGAAATTGAAAAAACGTACCTAATATCATTCGATTACTGATCAAAATCAAAAATAACAAAATGAAAAAAATCTCCCTTCTTTTGTGAATACTATTGTGAAACCAACTGTACTGCAAAATATTGTGCTTTATTATCAAATCATTTTATTTTTTTATGCAATAGTAATATATTAACCCAGCAACAACTGTAATACCAGTGCCTATTCTTATGTAATTGAAACCATTCTTCTGCTGCACAACTTCAGTATTAGGATCATTTAGTTCATCCATTTTGTTCTTAATCTGCAAAACAAAAATTTTCAAACTATCTTTGAACATAAAATTAACTTCGTCCAGCTTTTCAGCTGTTGATCCTAAATGAAATTTTATTACTGCAATTGTCTTTCAATTCAGAAAAAATAGTTTTTGTTGAGGAATACTCAATGGATAATGTAAAGACCTAGGCACAATAAAAAAATAAATTATTATATTTATTCCTATAGAATTCGTCCCTTTTCTTAAAGGTCACTCACCATTGCTGGTTAGACTCGCTCCGCTGGCTTGTCGGACTAGACAAATATGCTAGGGATTTCCTTAGCGATAGAAATACAGGTAAGTCGCCAGCATTACCTGGATTTTTAGGCAATTTACTCCTGCCAGGAATTCGAGTACCGGCACTCCGATTAAGCAACAACCCACTCAGCCACTCTACTCTCCCTTGCTTTCTCCGTTAGGAGGTACTTGAAGAAATGTGCTGCGCTGGCTAGATTCGAGCCCAAGCCTCGAAATTCATTGTTTATGATCATGAGAATAATTGAATAAAAAAAACTGATTGATTGGACATGTAATTACTAAAAATTACAAGGTTATAAAATAAAAAAATCAGACAGAAATATTTCGCCCATTGATGGTTGCGGCAAAAGAATAAGTCAGGCATGAAAAATTTCAAAAAACGGCAACAAAATTAAGTATTTGAAATACCTGATCCATTTTGCCATTTATGAGATTTAAATCGCATAGTAAGTCGTCTGAACCTAGAGAAAGAAAAGCTGTACTCGCTTGTTCAGCATGAAAGTTAGCATGAGCGTAATTGCTACAATGAATTCGTAATGAGCAATCTGAAAGCAATACTTTCACACAAAATCATTTCGCTGATGTGTTTCAAAACATTTTTTAGAGCAATATACTTCGTCGAATATAAAAAATCTGAGAATAGGGTTCGACAGTATTTTCCGCTAATTTTAATATCCTTTATTTTCGACTGCCGCCCTAGGCCTTCATCGAGGGAGGAAAATAATAAATACATCAAAGTACAATCTTGAGCGATTCTATTTAGGTTTTCGCACTTCTCATTTCATTTTTTAAACACTTCTCTACAAAGGAATATATAATAAAGTTTAGGCTAATCTAAAAAATATGCAAATAACAAAATAACACAGACGAATAAATGACAGAATATAAAACTTGTAGATACACCATAAAAACATATTGAAAGATTGTATAATACAAACCTGCATTATTTTGATTTTGATGATCATCTTTCAAGATACATTTAAAACAGCCGTTATTTTGCAAAACTATTTTACAATAAACCTCTTTCGACTGTTTACCGTTTTTTCGATCCTTAAGGGCATCATTACTTTGATCCTTTCTTGTCTGAACTTCACAGTACTCATATTCTTGATTTAAACCGTTTGTTATTGTATGGTTTTCTTGGAAATTATTGTTAAGATAGATGTCTTTCTTGCTACGCATAATCTTCCTAGAGTTATTTAACTCAAGTCTTTGATCTTCACTATTTGTATTCATGATCCGATCGATCATACTATTTGCTTTTGCCAATCGTAATCCATTTTTCTTTGTCCAATCATTAACTCCAATGTTTTGTGCAAGAGAAAATTTCCGTTCGTGAATTTTCTAAAAAAAACTTTGAAAAACTTGAAAAACTTAATAGATTTAATAGAATAATCAAACTGTCATTCAATTTGTTTTCTGATAAAATTTTTTAAGAAAAATGATAATAATTCCTAGAACAAATCGATTGGATCGTAGCCAAATAAATAAAAGCAAACAAAAAGAACTTTTTATAATGATAGTAAAAGGTAGAAAAATGAAAATAAAAAATAATAAGATATACCAACATAAGCCAATAAGTTTAAATCTATGCAGCTATTAAACCATTAAAACTGAATTCCAACAACGGTAGGACTCGAATCTATGAGTTAGTGTGATTTAACCGACATTTTTTGCAAATGGAAAAAAGAAAAATGTGCAAATTTGCATAATACCAAAATGATATCAATAGGATAGCAGTTTTTAAGAGAATTTAGTGTGGTCTCAGAACTTGAAGAGTGTTTAGTGAATATATAATGAAATTAAGAAATAGTGGAGTTCGAAGAATTTCAAAGGATTTTTCAATGGCAAATGTACAATGATGTCTTATGTGATACTAATGGACAACAGAATAAGGAGTAATGAGAAGAAACTGTGAGAAAAGAATGATCAATGATGATTTTAAGAATGATCAATGATGTTACTGTCTAGAATGATGACTAAATGTAAAGTTGAACTAGAGAGGAAAATATGCTCCAATCTGAAAAAAAGAGAACGAAAATAAAATTTTTAGAGAATATAGCGCAATTTTAGACAGTACCAAGGCAATACAAAGACGCTTGGGAAGTTTGTTTATTATGAAAGTAAAACCTTTAAAGCATATTTCATATGGCGCACTTAAAAGAAGCCCTAAAAAGATGGAAGAAGGATTGGAAGATTCCTAAGGGTCTATGAGAAAATTTCACGGAAAATTAAAGGGATATAAAGCTTTAAAGGTATTTGGGAGATTGCGAAAGAAGCATAATGGGGTTTGTCAAAATAATGGAACCTTAGGGATCACAAGGGAAGTATAAATTCTATTCCTGCTAGACAGATTTTAGGAGATATTAAGGAAAAAGAATTGAGTTCAAAAATATTTTGAAGATGCATGATACATACATGAAGAAGTACAATAAGACCAAGATTATGAGGCTTTCGAATTGCTTTTTTTCGCATATTAACATGTAAACTAAATCAAATATAGCGAATTATTACGTTTAACAGCATATGGAATCGCCAAAGTGCAGAAAAGAAATCAAAAGACTAAACCATATTTAGGGATTTTTTCATTTCTGACCCATTCATTTTCATTCTAGCCATATTTAGGGATTTTTTCATTTCTGACCCATTCATTTTCATTCTCTTTTTTTCAGATTGGAGCATATTTTCCTCTCTACTTATTCTTAAGAACTATAATAATCACTTATCAGTCCTACTTCTTTAACATTTCGGAGATACGAAAATAAACTATACTGCGCAATCGTTCCACAAAGTGGAGAAAATCAAAAGACTGCTGCAGTAAGTATTTTTTTGTTTTTTATTTATTCAATATTTAATTTATCATCTATATGAGTTTGCATTTCGAAAGAGAGATAAATAGATCTGAATGAGGTACTTGGACAAATTCCTCACGAAACAGCCACTTTCACTGCAGAACAAAGGCATATAAGTAGGCAAATAGTTTAAATACCATGATTTCAGACATATGGTTAGCCAGGGCCAGTGAAAAATGAAAAAATATCCCAGATATTTATTGCATAAGAACTACTGCTGAATTTATAAATTTGCACAGAAAATTTTTATAATATCAATGAAAGTAATTCTATCAAATGAACCCATTGAACTTCAGCATCATTTTCTCTATCATGTCGATGAAAAGTAAATTCACACGAATATGCAGATAGATTATTATCATTATTAGCTGAACGTAGATCAACTGATTTGGTTATATGCTGTCGACTTGTCACAAGATTTAAACATTTTGGCATTATTTAAATTTTAAAATCAAAATAGACATTGCAAGGCAATAGCTAAAAAATGGACAATAAGATAAGAACTTGTTATAAATCTTAAAGGACAGAAAATGTGACCACCGATGCTTCACTTAACCATTCTATTAGCCATCTTAACGGTTTTCAATTTTAATATCATTTTACTAGTCCTTGAAATCCGGAAAAATTCAACTAAAACTTGTTGATGAATTTGGTACTTGACCATATATCTATCAACTGAGAATAATTACAATAATAATTAATTTATTTCAATAAAAATCATATAAAAAAACAAAATTCCATTTCCCTTAATAATAATATAAACAATATAATAATATAAACAATAATAATATAAACAATAATAATAAACACTAACCTGGTCTTCGTTTTCAAAAAGTACTTCAACTTTTTGACTTTGAGCTAATGCTTGAACTTGATCCTCAGTTCTGATTGGAATAAGATCAGGAAGAGTCAAAACATCAATAACATGTCCTTTTTTCATTGCATTTTCAACAATTTTTTTCAAGGAATCGATCGTACAACCACCAGGAAGAGTTATACGCTTAAATGTTTCTTTGCCTTCATCACAACTAAAATCGTTTCTGTTATTGCTAAATTTGAAATTGCTAAATTTTAAATTTTACGAATATTATTCTGCTAAACATTTTTTTTCAAAGAATCCTCACAATTGCTGGTTAAACTCACTCCGCTGGCTTGTCGCACTGGACAATATGCCAGAGAGCCCCTTGGTGTACAAGGTGAGCTACCACCACCCGAATTTTTGGGCAGGTTTACTGGGGGATAGAACCTCAGCATAGGCGCTCCGAATTGAGCAGCAACCACTGAGCCATTCTAACCCATTCTATTTTTCTAAAAAAAAATTTTTTTAAAAATTTTTATAAATATGATTCAAACATATTCTTGAGATTTTTTTTAAAGAGTACTACCCTATTGCTGATTTTCGTTGACTTGCAGCACTAGGTAATGTGACACAGAGTCCTTTGATGGTATAAATATAGATAAGTAGCCAGAATCACCCAACACAGGTCCTGCCAGGCATGGAACCTCAGCATCAACGCTCCGAACTGAACAACAATCCACTGATCCATTATATTTCCTTACTGTTCGACGAATTGATGGCCGATGGGAAGTGTGGAGCGCTGGCCAGAAACTCCACCATTCTTAATTCTCGGCGGCAATTAACTCGCCTCGCTAATGAATCAACGACATTGTTATTTTGGCCGAAGCCGCTTTCTGTAATTCCTTGTTGATGACTAAGCTGTTGCATAATTAGGATATTAAATTCCAAGTATAAACTCCAAGCAGAATAGCATAAATTCCATGCAATGAAGGAGTGAATGGCCACTTGTGGATCTCATAATATAATTTTGATGTTATGTATTTACCTGATTCTGATAATTGGCTGTTCGAGATATACCTCCAAAGAGTTTGGTAACTGCTCTTTTTAGTTTATATTCGTAATGATGCAATATTGGCTTTTATATATCCAAATATTTGTTCCAGTGGTTTAATACGTTTTTTTTCATCAGAATTCCGTGGGTTTTAGTGTTGTTTGGTTTACAACATAGAAAAAGAGAAATTTCACTGCAACCGAATTCTTTTGATGAATTTAAGGACAAGTGGGATGAGTGCCTCTGTATGCACTTCATGGAGCATTTTCAATATATAATCCTTCAGTTCACATAAGATGACGAGTGAATACTCTGATGTTATGTGTCGTTACATTTTCCTGCTTGTGTCTTGAGCATTGAGCATTGAGCATTGAGCTTACTTGGAAAAGCGACAAGAATAATGAATTCAGCGCAGAAATATGCTGGTGCGCTGTTTTAAATGGTGCAAATAACACTAGCAATTATTTCACAATATTTACTGGAGATTTATTGTGGTATTGCCCTTAATATAATTGGGTATTTAAACAGTACAATTGGTTTTCTTCGTAAGTTTATTTTCAACTGATATATAGTGTTCATTTGTGTGTAACAATGTTTGTATTTAGAACAAGACTTATTTGTTGTTTTAGACCATTTGGTTTTCTTTACTCTTGTCCAGGAGCAATGGTAGAATTATGAGTATAAACTGGTGAAGATATTTCAATATTAAATTTTGCTATCTATAGGATTTTGTGAAAGTTTTAAAATTTTTCGATTTTTGAATTTTTTAATTTTGAATTTTCGATTTTGAACTATTAGTGGTTTTCTAGGCAATTGATTATAATTGTTTCATTAGTTATCAATTTCTAGCGTTTGCGAAGTGTTATCCGGCCCAGTTCATAACAATGATTTAAGCCACATTAATGCAAAGGAAATATTTAATAATAACCTGACACCAGTGTCGCTGGGGATAATACAGTCAGATGGATTAAGATCGTTAGTGAAAAAAACATTTCAATTTAAAAAAAATTACTACAAAAACATTTACAGTATCAGCGACAGTAATAAATTAGAAATAAATTACAACATATCATCATTGTCATCCAATATTCTACGCAATTTTTTTTTAGGTTCTTTTAGGTTTGTGGAATTTATTTCCATTATAGCTCCAAAACATTAATGACAGAGTTTAACATTCTACACTTAATGTGTTGTAGAAACTTTATATGCGGGAGGTCACAAAAGTGAAGTGACTATATTTACTCATAATAGTTAAACTATATTTACTCATAATATTTATTTTTTATTTTATTTTTTCAACGACCTTACAGACTCAGGAAACTTCTTAACACATTTTCGATAAAGAGGCTAACTTGCTTTTATTTATATTATTATTACATATACAATATCGAATCCGCAAAATCAAAGCAAGAAAACTTATATCCCTAAAGGACGAATTAATGCAATTGCCATTAAAATTCTGGAGCTATAAAGTAGCTAAAAAGTATTAGTACAAACTATCAAATGAAAGAAAAACTTTGCATTTTTATTTATACAAAGCCAGTAAGAACCGTCGTATAGCCCTCGGCAATATTTTATAGCTACAGCAGTGGTAAAGATGTTATAAGACATTTGATGAGCGATGATGAGAACTATATTTCTAAAATGGCAAAAAAGGAATTAAAGAAATTAATGTTATAATATTGGAATATAGCAAATTTAATAGGTTTTGGTTATTTCGTAACTATGTTTTTTGAAATTCAGTTGACTTCTTTTTACAACAGACGAAACATTGAGATGAATTAGCATCAACGATTTTTTTTCAATCATAATTTTAAAAAAAGTTTTGCAGAGCGCTTATCCGAAAGAAATTCCAATTCAATATGGGAATTCAATTGTACTTCAATTCGACACTGATGATAATTTAAATAACGACGGAGAAGGATTCAGGATTGAATGGAAATGCGACAATTACTTTGTTCCACAAATTTGATACAAATAAAAAGGAAATAAATTCACGCAATTCCAAACCTTTGCTTGTAAAATATACTGTAAAATATTTGCTTCCATAAATTCAATTTTTAGCTAAGACATTCTATTCTGTTGCAAATTTTTAAAACCACATCCACCAAGTTTCAGACTGCGCAGTTTTTTTATAATTAAATAATAGAAGGTTTTTGGTGAAATTTTTTAAACTTTTACAGAGATCAAAGTTGAATTAAACCGGAATCGCAAAATAAGACAATAAGACAATAACCTAGCTCTTGAAAATAATTGCTATTCATCTTCAGAAATCAACCAGAAAAGAAAGAGATTATCATAAATATCGAATAATCATTTTTCTATAATTTTAGACCAGAAGGGCCTGATGTCGAGCATAACGTCGAGCTGTTAAATGATTTCATAGATAAGAGGGATTTCAATGGTTTTATGCCAGTGGTCCTTGTTTAGCTCCAAAGTTAAAATCAAATTCAAAGTTAAAACTTAAGATTTAATATTTAATGCATCCAATTCAACGCAATCGTTTAGAATATCATAGTTTTTTAAACATCCTGACTCGCAGTGATTCTAAATTTCATGAACCCAGATTTTTATAACAAGCAGAGACTGAGGTGATGTATAAAGTATTCTTTATTCATAAAAAATTTTTTGATAAACGTTTCTTGCTTTTGAAATTGGAGATTGGTTGAGCAAATAGAAAATTCTTTGCTTCCATTAATTAATGTTTTTAATAAATAAATTGTGGGACAAAATTCTGGACTCTTAAATTGGTTTGCGCATTTTAAAGCCATTATCTCTGGGAGAATTAGAATTTTAATAAATTTATGATTAATAAAACCATGTAAAACTGATTTTTGAATAAAAATCAAATCTTTCCTAAATCTTCTAACTCTTAATGAATTATGAATATACAAACTGACTGATATAACTGGTAAAAAGATCAGGATTTGAGCAGGAAGACTAGAAAAGTATTTCAGTTTAGACTAAGATAAATGATTTACCATATTCGAGAGAAGTATCATAAATATCGAATATCGAATATATCATGTTATACCTCCGATAAGGAGAACGAATGCTTTATACATATTGAGAGGAAAATTGTCTGGTCTACTTCGAAATGCCCTAAGCACAAATATTGTAGAATAGTGTAAGATATTTTAACAATCCTGCTACTAAGTCAGAACTGTGATCTTCAACAACAATTAATCCAAGATCTAGATAATTGTTCGATTTGAAAGAGATTTGCATGTGCTTAAGAAATAAGAAGATTTTTATAAGAATATTTTTAAAAAACTTTACCTATAACATAGGCAATTTGATATTTCTTGAAGCCAAGAGGGGAATTATTCCGGTTTGATCTTGAGCGGCTGCATTATTCCGCTGTAAATTATTTTCGGAATATTTTTAGAAAACTATATAAAACTACGAGCTAAATTTTTTTGTTTTCTTTTTTCTAAATTTAAAAACAAAGAATTGAAATAAATAAATAAATATATATATATACAAAATTTATAATAATATTGTAAAATATTTATGTCTATCTTTGACAGGAGTAAACCTGTCGTATCAAAAATCTGGGTGGTTGCTGGGGAACTACCTGTAACTCAATTCCCAAATGACTATGGTGAAAGGGTCAGATATTCTTGATACGGCATCTCGACGCGCATGATACTCAGAGGTCGGTGGTACACGCGATAAGTATACAATCGGGGCCTACAAGCGATTCCAAGGCTGGTAACTAAAATATGCTCGCGAGTGAGGAAAATTGCTCGAAACCTAACAAGAGGAAGAGCTCTCTGCGCGGCAAGGTATTAGTCGTATCAGCGTGGAACGTCAGAACACTTGTAGATGTTGCAAGTCAAGCGATTATTGTCCATACCCTTTCTAAATATCGTGTGGACATCGCTTTCTTGTCACAGGTCCATATTCCTCACTTCGGGTTTCGAGTAATTACTAATCCTGACTCGGAGCAGATATACTGGCTACATCACTGGTGCTTCGGATAACTCGGGATAAAATGGCGTAAGGATTGTCATGTCTGAAAGGCTTAGGCTTAGGACTATGTGTAAAGTAAACTAAGGACTCATGATTTCTTTATTCATACTATTAATTACTGGAATAAATTATCGAACGATATAGTTTGTGCGTCATCCTTAGCAATCTTTAAAAAAAGATTAGATAATATCATTTATGATATTATTTAAAAAATTCACATCATGCAGGAAGTGTGAAATCGCGATTTTTACCATCCGATTATACTTAATAAAATTATTTCGAACTATAGTATATTATATTATTTTGTAATTTCCTCTTTAAATTGTTAATTTTTTATATTTTCCTTTTTTTTTCATTAATTTTTATTATTGTTATTTTAACTGTTGTTATTAATACAAGCACATGGCGTTGTTGCCCTGCTTAGCAGGTTTTCAATAAAAAAAATAAATAAATAATAGGTATCGTTATGTCGGATAATTTTCCCAGTTATGATTGCTTTAAGAGGTAAACGAAATAGTTCCTTATTATCGCTTAATGAACAGCTGTCTCCACATAAGGGTCAGATCACTCCTATAACGACCGACATACAGTTGTGTTGCACGTCTTTGAAGCGTACGATAGTTATGATTTTTTAACTTTGACATTTTTTCGTATAATTGGATTATTTCCCTTCCAGTATATCCTAATCAGCGCATTTACAAGTGGTATATTCTGGCATGCACTTGGTCAACTTTCGAAGACACACTTTTAGTTGGGAACATTCACTGGTATAACCGTTTCAAAATGTCGGTGTTTCAACCGTTCGTTTCGCTATCTCAGAATCTCCGAGCTTATAACAACTTTAGATAGGTACAATAGAAAGATTTTGGAAAACGCTGCTTTCTGTGCTTCATGAGGATCTCGAATCATAATATAATTTGCCCTTGAAGATTACCAATTTCAACGCTGATATAGGAGCAGTAATCTAGTACTGAACCCCTCCAACAGACTGATCAAGACTGATCATGAGCAATCTGGCTCACACTTCACTCCCGATTTGCTCTACGGGTTGCCAACAAAATTTGGTATTGGAGAAGCCGACTGCCAGTTGTTTGCCCTCCTTAACAGATTTTGAGCAATTACCCTGACCCGAAATCAAATTCTACTTTGAAATCTTTTATCAAGCTCGCTTCGTAGATTCATGGTAAGCACCATCGGTCAAACAATATTATACACATCGCAGACGCCACATGAAGGCAACAAGTTTACCTTTGTAAGTTTGCCAAATTGTGATTCTTTTTTCTTCAATTTTTGCTTTCAAATTTCCCATGTAAACAGCAATTTTAATTTCAATTAAAATTCTGAAGAATTTTCGAAAGAGTTGGAGCCAACCAATCAACGCTTAATAACATAATTATCATCCATTTATCAGACATTACGCAGACATTTGGATAACTTGTGGTTATCACTTATTTCCAACAATGCCCTTATCGCTAATGCCCGTACAAAACGGAAAAAAAATAGCAATAAAATTTCCACTGAATTAATTGGGAACAGAAAGAAACTCTGCTTAATGACGAAAGGAAAGCACCCAAAACCAAAAAAATTTTTTTGACAGCTCAAAAACGAACCTTTTAGAATTCCTGTCGTTTCAGATAAGAAATATAAACTTGTCGTACTTATAATTTCACTACAATTTATAATTCCAAAAAACTATCTAAAGTATATATACAGCTTTTTCACAACGGATTTTTAATGCAGATGGTCATCTAACTACAGTTTTGACCGGTTATCGACAAAAGTATCAGATTCCTGAGAGGAATGAAAATTTAACTTCTGTTCCAACCCTTTCTTTCTTTCAACAGATCGATGAACAATATTTTAATGTCCAGTATACAATAAAAAATGTTTCGTCCCGATGTAAATTTTATCCAATCATTTCTTCACGAATTTAGGCAATTTTTTTTGCCTTTGCATCAGACCCTTTAAGCAGATTTTGAAACAACTGCATAACAATTCTGCTGCACTAAAATATATAGATGTATAGTGAATAAATCCTTTTTCTAACAACACTCAGTAGTTCTCATTTAGCCTGCTGAACATCAATGAAAGATTCTCACCAGAGACCAAGTTCAGATGGATTTCAAAAGCACAGATCAGCTCCAGTACTATTCAATTTTAATGATAAACTTGTCCTTGTCAAAAGAAAAAAAATCGATCAACGATAAATCCACGATTATTGAAAAGTAACATACCACATACTGCTCGATTATCCTGTCCCAATATGGCGAACAATAATAGAACTTAAGGAGAAAACAATTTTCAAAAAATTTTTATTAGGGATTACTGAATAACTCTACAGAAAAAAGGTTTCAATATAAATAAATTAGAAATTAGATGAGCTAAACTGAGATTCAAAAAGATCAACAATACGTTTAATGTCTTTGACTTGTTGCACCATTGGTTTTATGCTCTCCACACATTTCGAAATTTCCTCAATCTAAAAAGATTACTATATTAAAATTTAATAAAAATTTTCATATTTGCTAAATAATAAAAATATATCTAAATCGAATGATGTCAGTGGCTTAATAGGAATACTGCCACCAAAAATCGAGAATGATTCGGAACCGGCCGACACTTCATCGGAAAGCAATGTCATCGAGCAGCAAAAGCAAATGAGATAGAATGGCTCAGAGGATTACTTCTCAATTTAAAGTGCTAATGCTGAAGTTCATTCTACAGAAGTAAACCTATCCTCTGAAAATCAGCACTGGCGATCCACCTAAACTTCTTCCGTTAAGTGGTTCGCTAGCAAAACATGTTTAGTCCAAGAAGCCATCAACGTGAGCGCGTTATATCAGTGGCTTTAGACTAGACTCTAAAAATAAAAAATCTGGGTAGAATGGACTTAAAAAGAAATAAATGTAAAATAAATGTATAAAAAATGTGTGATTAATTTTTAAAAACAATAATTTGATAATGCGCTAACGACCTATAATTAAAGGTGAAATGCGAGTGAAGCTGGGACGAACTCATGATAATTTTATCTATAATTATGAGTATCTCTATGAAGAAATATTACTCGTTATAATCGATGAGCAAATTAAAAACCAAAAATGGATGCGCGGCAAGCTCTGCTTAGCAAATGGAGATGGTGCAACCGAAAATGATGAGCTCCATTAAAGGAGTAATAATTAATTAATAAAGTCGAACATTACTCAAACAACTACTTTATAACTTCTGGTTTACTGACCCGTAAAAAAGGCAAACCTTAGCTAATACAGAATATGAATTCTTGATAACTATATCAACAATATCACAAGTATTCGATATTGAATTATTATAAGACTGCAAAGATTCAATTGTTAAATCGGTCATTCCAAATAATGAACCACGCAATTCCCGCAAACAGTTGTCGATGTTCACCAAAATTAATTTTGAGTATTTTTCGATATCATTTAATATTTCTTCATTTGGTTTCCATTTATTGATAAATATTTCTTTCTTACTAAAATCACTAAAACTTTGACGAATTCTTTGTTCTAAATTATTTACGACAAATATATGCTGTGATGATAACGATGATGATGCCAACGATTCAAAATTCGTTTCCATCTCCTTTTCATTATCGTTTGACATCTAAAAAAAAACGCTTCGATAATTCCTCATTAAGAAGGAATATGAAAAAATAAAAATTTACGAGACTAGTGAAAGCTATGAAATCCTTAGGAAACCTGACCATTTCTTCCCAAGTCTTCGTAAGAGCTTCGAAATGCTTTGTCTTGTGAAAGCAAAAGTTCCCCTCAAAGAATATTGAAAACTACTAATGCTTATAGAATATATAATGAAAAAAATTTAAAAAGTCACACAAATAACACCCTATGCGTTCACACCCAACAATGTATGAGAACACCTCAAATGTCCAAAATTCTTCGGCCCGTCTTTTCATTATTCAGCAAAACAACACGTTCATAAATCGCAGCTTCATCACCCAATTTCGAAATGCTCAGCCGCATATTGGCAACTCTTAAAATGCAGCTAGGAGAACCGACCAATCAACACCAACAAACGATGAGAATGAACAACGCTGAATTTTATTGGAGAAGTTAACATACAATACGATTACACAATTTCTGTTCAGTTTGTTTTCAACGTGAAATATCCAAAAAGAAAATATTTAAATAAATTTCGTTGCCAACGACAACACTTTATTATATTGCATTTTGTCGCGTTTCACCAATAACTTTGAAGATATAGGGGCAAGAATTCGATTCCCCATCGGGTTACCATCATCATTCTGAAAAAAAAAATTCCGTTAAAAATCAGTCAAAACGATTTGGAATATTTCTCCACCTGAAAGCACGTCATTAATACGCAAAAAGGGTGACCTATTTTTCAAAAAATTTTTCTATATTGTTCTTTAATAAACCATTCTCACCAACAATATAATGTTGTTTGAATCCGTTGATGGTACACCATGCTTTCTATGACCATAATGCACATTAGCTCCAACAATAATCGCCATCTTTATCTCTCCACGAATTGCGACAAGAACCTAAATCCAACCAAATTTTACTGCAGCAGCACAGGAAAGATTGGTTTAAATTCGAAACATTGTAAAAAATCTTTGAAACAATTCTCTGCTAAATAAGTTTACCAATAACAATAACTCCCAATAACTCACTTTATCTCCAAGCGCTGCTGGAGGCATATGCTTTTTACGATATCCTCTTTTACAAACATGGATACAATAAGCCAATTTACCGCTCAAGTTTGCTTCTTTTCCCAAAGCTGAATTATCGACGACAACTAGACGGGTTCGACGAATAATGCCTGGATACGGCGGCCTTGTTCGATGTCGACTCATCTCATATCTAAATAATCGTTTTCTTTATTGAAAACTACCAACTATTGCTATATGTTAATATTTATTCATTCAGCTGTTTTTGTTCAGCCTCAATAAGAATTCTATTTTCTTTTAACACTATCGCGTTAAAACCCGATGTGAACTTGCGCAATTTTAAATTCGTTGGAAAAAAATTTTATTTATATTTTATCCAAAGCACTTTTACCAACTAAATATGACATTTCGAATATAATTACAAAAGCAAAATATCGAAGAAGATCCTATTATAGTTTTAGACGTAGAAAGCTCCATTCCACTTTTTTGATTTCTTTACTGTTAGAGTAGCGTTTTCGTGATTATACGGGCAATGACGACAACCATTTCCACAACAACGTCTCGACAATAATACGGAAACTGTCATAACAATGTAACCAGTTTTAGGATCTTTATAAGTTAACTTCCGATCTTTTACAGCTTTCAAATGTGCCATATAAATATCCCGTTCCTCAGCAGTTAATGCAGAATAATCATCCCAGGATACCTTGGCTCTTTTCATGGAATCTTCAAACAACAGATAGTCAGCAAATAAATCTCCGTTTTTTCCTTTAACAAATTTATATAATTTTTTTTCCACTGTGCGAGGTACAACATATAAAGGTGCTGCTTTTTTACGATCTAATATAATACTAGTTTCATCAGTACAATCGAAGAATTCTTCAATATTAGAGCAACAAGACTTAGAACAGCTCTTCTCTGGCTTACCAACATCCTTTGAAAAATTCCTGAAATTGACATCCCATAAATCTTCGAAATGTCATTTTGCACAAATATCTCAGAGAACCAGCTAATTGCCTACAAGTATAAAAATCCGCGAAGATGGAAATGATAGTTACGGGAAAGATTCACGCATAGACTTCATAGACATAAACTTCTATATTTCTAACTTCACTTTATATTGCTATCTACTTAAGTAACTGCTTTTTTAAAACTGTTGAAAAAACTCTTGATAGTTTCATTATAAAATAGAACTCCGCATACTCTCAAAATATGAAAGAATTTGCATTTTCTTAAAGCAATGAATTGGGAAATTTTTTGCAACCAGAGAATTCCTGAATATACTTTTTTGTAGAAAACTCCGATTATTGTAAAACATTTCGGTAAATTATATATTAAACAGATGGATTATTCAGAGTATTACCGAGGTGTAAAAAAGGAGTGAAAATGGAAGAAAAAGTGGTATTTAAAAAAGAAAATGGGAAAAAACATACTCAGGTTGCCGCCACCAACGACCATTCATTTTACATGTAACTGTGGGAAATAAAATGTTCGTCGAAAGCCTATGTAGAGTGGAAAAGATTAATGACTGCATTACACATTCCTAAAAATAGCAGCATCAAAAGAATGAAATTTACAATATTCACACACAACTCCTTCCAATTCATTAAAAAATACAGCAATTAACTTAGAACAACAAGATTTGCCTTCAAAGCTTGCAGTTATCCAGTGGGAGAATATTTATCTACCGTTCAATGTTTATGTCTTTTTTTTTTTAAAGTCCTCACCATTCCTGGTTAAACTCGTTCCGCTGGCTTGTTGCACTGGATAAATATGCCAGAGAACTCCTTGGCGATAGAAGTACGGGTGAGTCGCCAGCATCACCCGGATTTTTGGACAGGTTTACTCCTGCAGGGAATAGAACCTCAGTATCGACACACAGAATTGAGCAACAACCCACTGAGCCATTCTGTCCTCATATTTATCCGCCGTTATTTATATCTATTACATAATAAACGAGATCACAGAATTAACGAAGTTTAAATATAGCACATCTTGTTATAAACAAGGATGAGTTATTCACTCTTCAAAACTTATCTATAATAAGCAAAAAAAGCCACCTGTCGCTGAAGGAATAAATCTGCCATACAATGCACTGGTCATATTAATTTATAATTTGAACTACGTTATTTCGACTTAAATATCAACTGTGTGACTGAATTTTAGTAAACCATTCACGTTCTAATTTTTTCGTTAATTATTTATAGGATTTAATTATTAATTATTTATAGGAATTATTTTTTCGTTAATTAATTATAAGAAGCATTAATTATTAAAACAATGGGGCTGCTTTTGCTCTACCTGTACCCTTGAACCTATTAGTAATATTCTAAATCTACTGTTGTTGATACTGCTTTATGCCTAATTCGCTTTTTCTGCATTAATAATTACAATATTACATGGTATCTTAGCCGTTTGTTCGCTAAAAAAATTGGTTATTAAATATAGCTAGCGGATTCAGCTTAACCAACCATGAACCATTTTATGCATCACAAAGAATCATCAACACAGCATAAACATAAACATTTATCTGCCGCTTCTTTCAAAACATCCGTGAAATTGGTGATAAGTGGTGAGCGATTTAGAGAACGACACCTCCTCTGAATCTGCCGAAAAATTATACCAACTTAATTCATCCAATAAATAAAAATTTACACAAATATCACTAAAACAATGAAGCTATTAAAACTCAAAATAAAAATGAAGCATTCCTCGTTGAATATTTTGATGAACTCAGATACTCTAAAATAACCCAGTACATTTATCTACATTAGCCCAGATAACCATACAATATTTCTTATTCAAACTCAAATTCTCTGAAACCCTAATCGACTCACTCCAACAAAATTAGGAGACCGAATTGCTTCATAGTAATTGTCAGCTGGGATTCAAACCAATTCAAATTTTACAGCTTAATATCATAACGTAAATGGACTACGCACTTACAAAGAAGGCCATCATTCCGAAAAGGATGTGGGTAGTCAGGTCCTGGTCACATGCGAATGTCTGCTTGAAGACAGCATATTTCTTGAGGTGGAGTGGCACCAGGATTCAAAAATCTATGTAATAATTTGACATTTTGGTTGCATCGCTAGTTTGTCTTCTCTGCGATAAGATCTTACTCGTAGCTACTTGATGTTGGAATACAGGAATAACCGTGCATTTCATTCAAATGTCAAGTGGACATCATCTGATTGTTGAAAATACTTCTTCCTTATTCCGGGTCTCGAATAGAGACTTTCCTCAGAGCAAAGATATTAATTATCACGGTGCTCTAATAATTCTAGGCAAAATGGTATATTGGTATATAATGGTAAATGGTAAATGGTCAAGTATGAAAGAACTTCAACAGCTCTTACCTTGTGTGAAGCCTTATTAATGGCCTGAAGTCCTGCTTTCCCTTTGACCGGAAAGTTGATGAGTACAGTATCGAGGCCTAATGTGCTTATTTTTCAGCTTTTTTAATTTTCCCGAAGAGCTGTTGGAGTTTCGGCCACTAATAATACTAATCCACTAATAATACTTTCGGCATCAAAGAAGTCACTTCATGGAATTCTTTAGATAACCAACAACCCAACCAAATTCATTATATTCTGATTTTCCAGTCGATAAGCAAGGTTCTGTACTAGATAGTTCCATTGTACTGAAGCTTCAACCTTCAGACCATATTGTGGTAAGAGAATTTACATCAGGAAAATATTATCAGTGTTAGTCTTTCAGCTGTCTGAACATTTCAGACCGAATCATAGGCACTTCTCAGCAATGTTGGCCTCAATATTATCTATATTATGGAAATTAGTCCCAACAGAAAGAAGTGTCGCCTAAATCCGCAATGGAATGCACCACTTGGAAAAAATCTAATTGACCATCGAAAGAAACAGTCCAACTCTCTATAAGAGATCTTAAGGCTGCACTCTTCAAACGTCGCAATTTATTCTTGGCAGTTTATTCTCAGATGATGTAATGTATATATTGACAAGGAAAGAATACATACCATATTATAATGGCAAAGTAATGCTGTACGCAATTCCCAAGAATGATGATAATACGCATTACCGAGGAATCAGCCTTACTAGTTAGCTCAGAAAATTTTTGCCTATCTTCAGCTTAATAGGCAATGGATAAACGAATTGCGCTCTAGTCAAGCTGGATTTAGGCAAGGTGTGCTGATCAAATATGTGTTGCTTGATCGAATTTGCAGCTCTCTTCGATTCAGTTGATAGAGCAGCGGAATCTATTTAGGATGAAATACAACGGTACTTCAGAGAATATTGTCCTTATTTTACCACAATATAAGTCTATGCGTTGAGAACCCTTTAAAAATAAGGACTGGTGTACGTTAGCGTCATGCGACCATGCAATGGATTAACTATTTTGGCCACACTCATATTGAATGAGAGAGCAAATTGGGAAATACAGCTCATATAATCGCAACTGTCTACCTGTTTTTCTAGTACTACAATAAATTCCCTTACATGTCCTTAATCTTAAAGTTGCTTGATTGCTATGTTCTCCGTAACATTTTGCACCTCCAAAACTTTTTTAATCCTACAACGTTCTAGCAACACTAGCTTTATTCTTTGCTAAAATCCAATAGAAACTTCCTTTATTACTTGAGACATATCGCATTCTGATATTGCCAAAACTCTTGTGGTCAAAAATATCAGGCTGCAATACGGAAACTCATCTACATCTTTTATTGGCTTTCATATTTTGAGGAAAACAAAACCAAGCAAAGCATCTTAAGTCTATGAACCTTCAAAACTCGACTATGGTGATGCTCATTTGCTGTAATCTATAAGTGCAGCCATTTTCTGCTACTTTAATTCTTCCACAAGAGTAACAAAAGGCACTCCTTTTTCCATCGTTTAATTCCATATGTCAGTGAGCTACCTATACGTTCAAAACCTCCTCTAATTATATCAGTCCAGGTATTGATTATTCCTTTTCGTTTTTGATGGCTTAGCAAACAGCGAGACGTGCATCAGTTTCGGTGTTGTGGGACGAAGAACATTGCAATAATAATATTCGCTAACCAGCAATGACAACAATATTGTGATGATATTGTCAATGCAGATGGTTTATACAATTTTATCGCTTTAAGCATCTATCCGTTCAATGGATGTGCAAAATCTACAAGAGCGGTCAAGGTTGGAGTTTTTTATTCCATTCTTATTGTCCGTTTTATAAAAAGATAGCTATAGCACGCATTGCAGTCGTATAGATATGTTTTAGTATCGATAGCAGTTTCGATTTCGCAGATTTCGCTTGGCCATTTGATATAAGAGTGGATCCAAGATATTTTATTTTCTTTAAAATACAACCAAACGGAGCGACAAGCGCCGTACATTTGAGGTGCTAAATGAAAAGAAATTAGTGATATCGATATAAAATACCACAGAAATGTGAGCAAAAGCCAATAATATAAACAAAAATATTACAATGAAAGGGAATTGTAAAAAATAGATTAATGGTAATGACTGACGACAGTGGAGCTATGCTCGCCTGCCACGCGTTAATATTTTAGAAAACCGGACTAGAAGATTATATTGCTCATCGCACGTAATAAACAATCATATTCGATACAATTTAAATCGAAGGACGAAAAAGACAACTATATCAACGATAATAAGAAATACACAAATAAAAAACTTAAGTAGCAAAATGTAGGATAAAAAAATAATGAAATATTGGGAAGCGCTTGGGTCCCTTGATGTTTCTACAAATGAAATAGAAAAGCAACTTTTTTTGAAAGTCATATACAATTTGAAAAGTGATCTCAATGGATTAATGGCATGCTGATCATTATTATTAAAGGTTTATTTGCCCATGTTTAAAGCATACGAAGACGAGCGATATAATACGATGCTTTTTTTAACGAAAAAGAAAGGAAACAAACCCTAAATTTCTAAGCTTTTACGTTACAGAGCCCAAATTAACATTTTGCATTCGTTATATTACGACAATAACGTATAATAAATTATAGATCAATTATTGACGTTGACAACGAAGAATATTGCCTAACATGGTTGTTGTTCTCTGTTGATGTCATGAAAATCCATACTATTAGAAAAGTGAACGTAGCAATGCGAGATTTTATCGGCCTGGCTAGCTATAGGAAATGACACTATCTTTGACACTTCCTCATTTCGCAGCCATATAAAAGAATTTACTTTAACTGATTTCACATCAGTTCCGCACAGGTTCCCTCAGACGCGATTCAGCTTTTCTAATGCAGCGAGAGAATTTCTCTTTTCACTTGAAAGTGGATCTAAAGCATTTAAAATCCGACACTTCTGGAACCTGTGGCTAATTTGCTTATAACATTTTATCGCCGCTTGGCGTACGGCGAAAATATCTGCGTCTTATTTTCATTAATTTCAAGATCAGCTTTCGTTATAACTAACGATAACCCACCCCGTCTATCGCCTATCAGCAAAACGGATGTCATTAGAGAATTTA